GCCCCCCCCCCCCCCCTTTTTTTTCGTAGATGACTTAATCTAACGGGCAGATCAGGGGGCCCCTTGCGGGTCACAGTGGGGCAGGCGCTAAATCTTAACGGAACAAGAAACGCTGTGACCGTGGAAGTACGCAAAGACATGGAGGGTTATACTTTACTTTTACTACAAAATCTTGATGTGAGGCTTATGTTTTGGAAGATATTTGTCATAGAATGTTAGCTGAAGTCGTTTCTGTATTTAAATTAATAAGATGAATACTTGGAGTAATTTTTTTAAAGTCAGAACACAACGTTTTATGTTACTGTTGTACGTTGTACTGTATTGTAAAGGGCTCAGAGCCTGTGTACTTTAATCGGGGTTGAGCACTATTTAACTGTCATTAATTATTATTACAAATGTATTAGATCTGAAAAAGGAGATGGTGGTTTTGACGATGATGATGATGATGATGATGATGATGATGATGATGATGATGATGATGATGATTAAGGTCATTCCAAGCCTTAAATCTCCATGGATGTATATTAAGGGACAATATGGAGATACGTTGGTTGCGAATACAAAAAATAACAACTCAGATTACTTTTTTTTGTTTTAACTTATCAAATAATTTGCTTTATTATCAAAGTCACAGAAAAATGTAATCAGAATGTTATTGAAACACCATACTTCCAGTTTGCTCCGACATTCGTCTGGGGAAAAGCCTGAGTCGCGTAGACCTACCGCCGACAGAAGAGAATGAATCAAAACAACACACTAGGCCCCTACTCTATAATAATAATAATAATAATAATAATAATATGGATGATGATAATGATAATAATACTGATAATAATAATAATAAAGATAATAATAATAATAATAATAATAATAATAATAATAATAATAATAATAATAATAATAATAATAATAATAATAATAATAATAATAAATTACATTTATATAGCGCTCAATCACGATTAAAGAACACAGGCTCTGAGCGCTTTACAATACAATAATACAATGTACAAAGAAAATCTCTCCAAATATTTCTCTTATTAATTTGAAAACAGAAATTACTTCAGCTGACATTTGAATGAATCAAAAGATTTGATAAGCATTCCAGATCTTGGAGCCTTGATATTCAAATGCCCTTTCACCCATTGTTTTAAGTTTCATAGATGGTAATATGTATATGTGGTGTGTTCAGATGTAGGGTTGAATATTGCCGATGCTCTTGGGATTTCCATAAATTTGATAATCTGTAGACCAACCGGAACGGAAGCTTTGGTGCCTGCCTATTGCCAACTTAGAATTACAAAGTCCTTTTTGACACTTTTGGCTGTTTCGACTTACTAAGAACGTAAGGCCAGAAACCAAATGTTCTACCAGCTCTACAAAAAGCGTAAGATTATTTGGAGTCATTATCAGGATATTCAAAGAATTGTATTAAAAAAAGCTTGACATTTTGTGAAACTCAATTTTTTTACGTCAAATTTCTCAAAATTAGGAACTATATAAGGAGATAGAACTTTGCAATCCTTGGATAGTGCTAAGGATGGAATGAAATTTGCCACAAGGGAACGTTTTTGGAAGAATTGGAAAGTTATTTCGGGGTCACTGATTCCAACCTTGTTTGATTGTTCAAATTGTTGTAACTCTTTCCAACCTCTCTTTGACCCATGATCTGTTTTATAATTGGCCAAACCTTTGTATGCTTGTCGTTGGATTTTATTTTTCGTACTTCATACGAAGCTTTGCTTGTTTATTAATCGTTTTCACTATTCATCAGTGTTTGCTTGACAGAGAATCTTTTCTCTTATCGTTTCCCATTGGAACCTTTCTTGACTGTTAGATCTTTTTCAAAATTCGTTGTTTGTACTTTTTAAAGAGTAATAATTCATCTGCACCATTTGAAAGAGAACAAAATCGTATAGCTCACTTCGTTCTATGCTTTTTATGACTGAAAAATGATATACTGTTGACATACAATGTCCCATCTGTGTTAATATATGTCCCATCTATGCTGATACATGTCCCATCTGTGTTAATGTATGTCCCATCTGTGTTGATACGTGTCCCATCTGTGTTGATACATGTCCCATCTGTGTTGATACATGTCCCATCTGTGTTGATATATTATGTCCCATCTGCGTTGATACATGTCCCATCTGTGTTGATATATTATGTCCCATCTGCGTTGATACATGTCCCACCTGTGTTGATATATTATGTCCCATCTGCGTTGATACATGTCCCATCTGTGTTGATACATGTCCCATCTGCGTTGATACATGTCCCGTCTGTGTTGATATTCAATGTCCCATCTGTGTTGATACATGTCCCATCTGTGTTGATATATGTCCCATCTATGCTAATGCAATATGTCCCATCTGCTTTCACGAATTCTGTTTACCAGGATCATTTCTGTATCATTTCGTTGTTGTCCCTTTTCCTTCCTCGTTCCAACTTTTGTCAGGTCGTTAACATTTTCATGACATTTTCCAACTTTCACTTAATTGTCATTTTGTTTATGCTTATCATTCGAACCCTTCTGTATAGAGAAGAAAAGAACATGGATTCATAACTCACTTCCCTTTACGCTTTCTCATCATGTCCGAGATGTCTTCACGAGTTCTTGTCCAGCTGAGTTATTAAATTTGTCATCTACACACTCCGCTTTTTTTATAACACACTCCGCTTTTTTTATAACTGTGTTGATTACTATTGATGTAAGCCCCAGACCACTAACAGACCACACACACACACACACACACAGAGAGTGAGAGAGTATGAAAGTGAGAGAGAGAGAGAGGGAGCGAGAGGGAGCGAGAGAGGGAGAGAGAGAGAGAGAGAGAGAGAGAGAGAGAGAGAGAGAGAGAGAGAGAGAGAGAGAGAGAGAGAGAAAGAGAGAGAGAGAGAGAGAGAGAGAGAGAGAGAGAGAGAGAGAGAAACAGACAGACCGACCTTGTCATGCCATAAA